GCCTATAGCTATTATTAAATCCTTCCTCTTTCCTTCTCTCGCACATTGTATTCCCTCTTTGCACCCTATTACCACCGACAGCTGATAAACCAAAAAAAAACAACAACAGCGATAACTGTGTCAAATATTCTCTGTGAATGATACAGCGTGGTTTTCCCCACTTTGTTTTTTCCCCCACACTAACACACCCGTTGGCACACTAGCTGGGAGAAAGCTACACGGGAAAAGTTGTTGCATCCTTAGATTACAAGCTAGCGTAGAAATAAAAGCACTCTTTCATCACTTGCCCCGTATCTCTAAAGCTTCTGTGCTAAAGCGCTGAAGGTCTGCCACAGGAGAAGTTAATCTGTGGGAGTGTGTGTTGAGACTGTGTAAAGTTGGGGGAGAAGGAACAGTTGGTGGGAGTCAGCAGAGACTCGGTTGCCTTATCTCCCACCCACTGCTCACATTACATCGACCTGCTGGGGCTTCTCTGCCCCTGAGCCCTCCTTCTTTAACACAACCCCCATCTTTTTTCCTACCCTTCTTTTGCCCTGCCATGCTTCTCTTCTCAATCACTTCCTGCTTCCTCTGCCTCCCTGCATCCCACTGTTCTTTTCAGTTTTCTCCAGTGTTTGTGCTTTCACTTATTTCTTTCTCTATACCCTTCCTCCTTTCCTTACCGCCTCTCCTAATTCACCCCCCCCCCCATTTCATTGTAAACTCACCACAAATCCTTCTTTTTCTCATTACTTGTCTCCACTCTCTTCCACTCTCCTCCCTATTCCTAATCCTTCTCTGCTTTCCTTTTTTCCCTTTTTCTAAATTACAGATTCTCTTTTCTTTTTGTCTCCTTCTCCTCCTACATTTTGACCTTCGCTGTCAAGCCTCTTTTCTCCCATCCCACCCTATCCTATCTTATCCCGTCCTATCCTGTCTCTCCTGAGTATTAAGCCCATGCTGAGTTCCACTAGCACCAGAAATACAATCAGATAATGCCAGACCAATCAGACAGGCAGAAGCTAGCTCCCTGCAGGATTGCTTGCACAGAGCGACTACATTTTGCAGATGTCGTGTGTGAGGTCCACAAAAGGTTTCCGTGCATGGCTCATTCAGGAAACACAACATAAGATCAGAAAATATATGTCACAATCTCTTGTTTATATCATGCCGTCCTCATTTTGATACATCTTTTTTTTCTTTTACTATAAATGACGGTAGTTGGGAATTAGATGCTAATTTCCGTCATGAGAAATGTGTGTTGTTACATTTTACTTTATACTTTTCTTGTCTTTTTTTGTTGTGCTATGAAAACAGATATTTTGCCTTTCAGGGAAAATAAATGACACATTTACATACTTTGCTGTTGTGTGGGATGCTTGTAACCACTAAAAGATTAATATCTGTAAGCTCTACTCTGCTGTTAAAGTAACACAATATAACAGAAGCCACTAAAAAGCGCATGACTGACTATGCTTAAGAAACACAGATGTCCACAGAGAGTCGGTACATTTGGAAAGATCATCATTTATTAACAAGTTTCATGCTAACTACTGGAGTTGTTAGCAACCCAAGGAGGACCTGTTCTGCTCATTTCCAACTTCATGTAGTTATTCTTGAACTCGTCTGCGGTAGCAGAATAGCTTTGCATAATTCACCGTTCAAAGTAGCAGATGCTGGGCCATCTTTGCACTCTGCACCATGACAGTGAATATGAATGAATGAAAGCTTTATTTGTCACAAGCAGGTTGCCCTGCAGTCAGATAACGATATCTGTGCAATATATGTTCCATTGTAAAGGGCTATTTTATTCTATGTGCATGAGAGAACAAGATGGAAAGAATGAAAAATCCTCTCTAACCTTCACTAAGCACCCATTAACTGAACACAGGACACGTGTGTGAGGGAAGCAGTCTTCTGAATGTTGGGTCCAATCGTCACTCTTACCTGAACTGAACCGAGAACCTCCTGCATCTCCATCAAAGGGACATGTTCAATCAGCATGGGCTGCAAACTTGAGAAATAAATTCACTACTACTACTTCTTCTTCTTCTTCTTCTTCTTCTTCTTCTTCTTCTTCTTCTTCTTCTTCTTCTTCTTCGTCTTCTTTTTTTTAATTTTTTTTTTTAGAAAAAGTCACTTCAGCTGGAATTTACTATATGCTTAAAAGCAAATGTTTTTAACCCATAACCCCCCTCCCCCACAAAAACAAATAAATAAAAAATAAACAAGTAAATAAATAACTATTTTAACCAGCATGGTAGTGTCAGCTTGCTTCACATATTGAAGTTACAACAGTATGAAGAATGCTTCATTGCTTACATGGATGATGCAGTGGTGCTATGTGTTATGGAGAATTCATGTAAATCACTGATTCCCATTATGTAGACCGTGGCCCTCTGGTGGACCAAACGTATACTGCAAATGTACAGTGTACAGAGGTATGTACAGTTTTATTGGTCTATCTATCAGATAGATAGATAGATAGATAGATAGATAGATAGATAGATAGATAGATAGATAGATAGATAGATAGATAGATAGATAGGTAGATAGATACTTCAGTTTCTCTTGTATTTGGATTCAACCAAACATTTATGGTCAGATGGGCCTCTGTGGGATTTTCTGCTTTTGAAGTGGGCTGCAGCACTTTGACTTTGAGAATGGCTGATGTAAATTATTCCAGTCTTATTCAGTGACATTAGCTCCCTATGAAAAAAAAAATCACTATGGAATTAAGTCTTAAATCACTTACAAATAGTGACTCCTTGCTGGAACATGTTACTTTCCATGTTTTTTACACTTGTTGTATAAAATCAGGCCCAGGACTCTTGATGTCCATTGTTGGATTTGTTTACTTTTCATAGCAGCCTGTGGTGTGCTGTGTGGAGAAGCATTCATATAGCTGAATCAGTAACTTTGGAGAGCACCTCGATGTATGCTTTTCTTTTTTTTCTCTTTGAAAGGCCTCTTACATTTTCAGTTTCATTCCAAATATTCCAGAGTAAGCCTTTCATGACTCTTCAGCACTTGCAGTTCATCAGCTCTTCATGTATGGTTACAGTATCTCTTCTGCATTCTCAGTGACTGTCCTCCATAGAGGAAATCAAACCTCTTGTCAGGCTCTATTTGCACTTGAAAGCACTTGAGGTCATATCCTCAAAATGCTTTAAACCACTTATAAGGTGTCAGAAGACTTTTATATTTTTATAATGAACATCTTGAAAACTGACATTATCTTTAGTTAGCTTGGCTCTAAGATTTAAGCCTCTTTCACAGAGGCCATGGAAGTAACCATTAGTTGATATAAGTCATGTCACAAATATATGAACTATTTTTTTTACACATGTAATGCAGCCCTGAACATTTGTAGTATTATCACCGTCGTTAGGTCCCTGTTGTCCTTCTTTCACACCTCAGTAGCTACAGTATGGGTTGTACTTTAAACAACACTTTTGAGAAAGTTGTAGAAGATGTTTTTCGTCCTCAAAAACACTTTTGCGAGTAATTTATTTTAATTCTTTTTTTTTCTTTTTTTCTTTTTTTTGCTTGAGAATAAAACAGCAGAGATTCTGTTTCTCTTAAAGCCTGTTTTTCAATGAGACCACACAAGGACACAATATGTCTTCATACCCAAAGTGGCTCAAACTAGGTGTTATTTACCTTACTTCTGAGGGGTGTACTATCTATGGAGCAAGCTTGACCTAGCCTTCATCAACAAATGTTATCTAGAGATGATGAGTTTAAACGTTATCTGTTAACTTAGGCTGTCTGCGTCAGGCTCGCTGTGACACGTGACATTTAACTCTCCATTTGTGCAAACACGGACCTGATTCAGGCAACTGGAGCAAGTCATTTACAGTTTTAGAGATTATAAGAAAAATATAACAGTCAAGGCAAGAGTGCAAACCTACCATAGACGGTATAAAATGGGTGTCAAACATCAGAGGCCAGAATTAACCTGGAAAAGACGACAGTTGAGCGCCCTAAATGTATATTTATAACAAAGTATACTATATACTATAGAGTCTTCTGTATTTTACAATGTGTCTACAATAAAATTAATAAATTAATAAAATAAATGTAATGTATAATTACAATATAATCATTGCAACAAGCTACCAGAACTTTTCCAGACATTTTTACACGTGTATTTCCTACATTTTCCTACAAAAAAGGCCAAAGAGTCGTGCTGACTGATTTCTTTCATTTACTGCAGCAGCATTTCTTTTTGAAATGGTCCACGTAAGTCCTCAGGTTGAGTGTTTTTACCTTCACCATCTTGAAACGGAACATGACAAGCAGGAGGCATGCCTGACTGTGAAACCTCATGCTCATAGGCCAATTATTAATCCTCAGCTCTGGCTTTTAGAATAACTCTAATTTAGAAAATTGACTATTTTTTTTTGTTTGTTTCTTTTTGTTAAATATGATCTGAAATTAGTGACTGGAGCCATAAACTCATCTGTAAAGTATTTATTGAGGTCAAATCATTTTCTTACAGACTTCTAGAGTTTGCCCCCTACTGGCAGTTAAACAGAACGCAAGTTTAAGGCATTTTCCTTCTGTCTAACCTTTTTAGGCCTGGAATCTAAGTCCATCTTTGATAATGTCCACATGCTACACACAATTCTTATTCTTATAAGTGAATATATTTATTTCACCACTCTATTTTAGCAAACCAGCTGAACTGTGCTGGTCCTAAACGCCAAACTTGATATTACAAAGCAAGTTTTATGTTAGCTGGTTTGTCAAATGCAAAAACTCCAGTCAGACATAACGGGTATCACAATGGTGCTCATCAACTTTTTGCTGTTAACCCAGGCTTTGTGCTTCAGGCTCTGTGCATGCTCATATAGAAGAGGTGCTTGACACATCATTTGACAAAATGGCCACAGTGAAGGCCACACACACTCATTTGCGAACACACAGCCTCGTGCGTAGAACTATTTTTTAACCACTAATCAGCCACAGCAGCTGCAGGATTTATCCAACAAAAACAACAATACAGTGCTCTTTTAATACGATATTTACTGTCAATATTTTGACAGGGAGCGTACAATGGTCCGGTGGTATCACATTGTACAGTAATCAGATGATTGGCAGCCTGTTTCCAAGCTGTGCAGCAAACAAACTCTTTCCAGAGGCAGCAGGTTATGTACAGCCAGACTAAACTAAATCTAAGCCCGTGTGATTCACCGCTGCAACAATAGAACATTTTTGTACATTTCCTACTGCCATAAAAAAACACTTTTCAAATATACACAAAGAGAATTTCATCAGGCCAAAGAGATGACATCACCTGTTACATCCTATCATATTGCTTAGGTACTGTTCACATCTTATTAGTTTGTGTGATTGGATACTAAAAGACAGTGTAATGAAAAATTAACTTTCCCAAAACATATTCTAAATCATTTAAGGAGGAGTGTTTACAAATGACAGAATTTACCCTTGATGTTCATCCAAACAAATGTCAACTTTTCAAGGCGTGATATCTTTTTTTTTTTTTTTTTTTGAATTACAGGCGTTTTGTGCACCATCAAATCCAAAACAAAAATGGACTTCAAAAGCAGCTTAATACATTATTTAGATCATGTTTGGCTTTTAGATCCTGTCAGTCTCCATACCAACAGCTCTGTATGTCCTTTCACTCCTCCTTCGTCTGACAGGCAGCCCTTTTTGTTTAACTGAGTTTCTAAAGAGTCTTCTGAGGTGCAAAATCAATCAATCAAAGAGGTGTCAGCCATGTTTTTTTTGTCTTCTTCTTCTTCATCTTACTTTCATTGCTGTTCAGCCGGCTCCAGGAGATCTTGGTAGATTTCTGATTTCAGAAATCGTGGGTAACAGTCGTTTTCCATCAGGCCATATATCAGTTTCTGCGCCCCGTCGAAGCAATTTGGCCCCGGCTGAGAGATATTTTTACTGATTTCTTCTCTGGTCACACAGTCAATGTTTATCTAGGTTCAGAAAACAGCAGCTTTTATTTCACCCTTTCTTTCTGAATATATTTTTACATCATGTGTTTAACTGTAAAAGATAAACTGTTTAGTACTGAATAACAGAGAGTGAAATATTTCCTTTTATTTGAATGTTTTTATAGTAAAAGTGAGTCAAATTCACCTCCAACCGGGGGTGATTTGTAGAGACACAGGTCTGACTTTGTTTACTCCTCAATTCACAAAAGCCATACCTGTCTAGGTGCACCAACTTGGACAAACTCAGTGTATATCCGTTTGGCAGCAATGGTCATTTCTGTCACTCTGGTTATTTTCTTGTACTTTTTGCAGGCCAGCCAGAAAAGAAGGTTCTCGTCACTGTACTCTGTCCTCAAGAAGTCCTCAAACACCAGCTGGCCAGCTGTGCAAAAACAACAAAAGCACTTTGAAATACAGACAGTTTCATTTCAAACCCTGAAGAAGTAAAGACTTGAATTTTTAAGGACCTGTGTGTTCAACTGCTACAGTTTTATAACTTCACAGGTTGGATTTTTTTTTCCTCATCTGTATTACACCACAAAACTCAATCAGTCGCTTCCAGAGCTCAGGTAGCTCACATTTGTGATGCTAACAACTGCATTTAAAAAACAGTATATCTGGTAACACCCTAAACATACAGTAAAGGCACTTTAGCCTAATATTTGTGAATCATAACATGTCATAGGCCGTTACATGATTATATTTTCTTTTAAAAGTGTCTTATAGTGTTATATAAATGATTCCAAATTGTCTAAATTTGCTAGTGGTTTGTGTCCATCATGGTCCAAGGAAAATATTTCTAAATTAGTTTTTGTAAAACTTTAGTGTCTTAATTTATAAAAAGTCTAGATTTTCAATTCCATAAATTATAAAAAAAAA